TGAAACAAGTTTGAGATTATTATAGACTATGGGGACTTTTGAAGTTAGACCGAATGCATTTAATTTTTTGCATTATGATGTGGTTATAAACATTTGGGGGCCAGGGAGTGGGACATGGTAGTTTGAGGAAAATGGCCCCCAAAGGGAGTGGCACTATTAGGAGGTCTGGCCTTGTTGGAGGAAGTATGTCACTGTGGGAGTCTCTTTTGTTCAAGCTTTCCCAAGTGTGACAGTCAGTAGACTTCCTGATGGCTGAAAGATGTAGGATTCTCAGTAATTTCTCCAGCACCACATCTGCTTGCATGCCACCATGCAGTAAAAACCCTAACTAAGACAAAAGATTTAAAAAAACAAAAGAGGATACCAAAGTTTGATGGGTAAGGAAGGGGGTAGATTTGGAAACAGTTGGGGGTGGTTAGTATAATGAAAACATCTTCTATGAAACTTCACAGAACTAATAAAATAAAAATTAATGTGAATGAATAAGTAATATATGTGATGGTGATAGTATCTCCAATCAATCGGTAAATAACTATCCAGTAAATGAAGTTTGTAACAGCAGAATAAATGTCATTGCTCATACTATGCACCGAAATAAAATATCTACTTAGGAGATGTAATACGTGAATCAGTGACAAAAGCTAGCAACTTTTATGTGTATGACTCAAATGAAATAAATGAAAGATATATAGAATGTCTGTTTGAATATAAAAACTTCATTGTGGATCCAGCAGCAATAATGAGAGAAGAATCTGAGCCGAGACGCAGTAGTCTTCCTCCATCACTACCCCCTGACACTCCCTCGCCCACAGGAAACTTCTTCACTATTTACTTACTTGCCCCACCAAGGTTTTCTTTTATGCCAATGTTGAAATTGAGTTTTATTTATTCACCTATTTTGTACCACAAAATATATATTTAATATACACATTTTACAATTTGATCTTTTTTCCATAGTCTTTCCCAGAAATCTTTCTGAATCAGTCCATAGTTGTCCTTACTTTTGTAAATATGCAACGTTATGCTAGATGGGCATGTTATTAATTTAGTAATCAGTTTAGCAGATTATCCTTTTTGAAAAACATTTTCCTCAATAAAATATTAGAAATGTAACTGGAAATTCACTAAAAATAATGTCTCAACATGCCTCTCAGAAGTATAGTATTCTCATTCAGGAGAGAGGATTCTCAAAAAGTGATGTAAAAATTCTGGAAGAAAAAAATCCTAAAAGCATATCATAATTAAGCTACTAAAGACATTGTTGATAAGACATAGTACTTTTCCCTCCCCAAAATATCCTGAAAGCAAATTCACTGTGGTATGACAGGCAGTATTAACAGACTATCTCATATACAGTGAATATGAAATTATAATCATTATAATGATCAAATTACAGTAATTAGAACATAGAGGAGAGAATTTATCTACGCCAGTTCCACAAACTGAAATAGTTCAGGCAATAGTTATCTTCTCAGTCACCATTCCTGTTCTCCCCCAAATAATGACAACTCTTTAGTATTCCACTTTCAATTTCATAGCACAGAACTTATTAAATGTTATTTTTATGTTTAAATGACAGTAGCAGAAATAGGATTGTGACAGTGTGCTATAATGGATTCATTGACTCATTCTGGCACACCCACCTATTCATTATCTCAATGCTGCTCTACCCACAGCGTTAACCTGATAACTCATCTGAAGCTAAAAATCGATATTTCACATTCAAATTTTGCAATTTTCATCCAAAGATTCTCTAAGACATAATAATCATAAATAATAATACAGCATACATACTTACACACACACACACACACACACACACACACACACACACACACACACACACAGAGTTCATCAATTAGGATAGAGTAGCTGGCCAGCAAACTCCATGGATCTTCTTCTCTCTGCAGCCCCAGCACTGGTATTATAGACACACTCACTATCACTTTTTTTGTGGCTGCTGGGGCCTGAAATTTAATCCTCATACGTATATGGCTAGCACTTGATGGACTTAGCTATCTCCCCAGGAAAAGGACTTAGCTCTTTTCCCCAGGAAAAGCATCTCTTACTGTTTCTCCAAGTCAAAAGTCAAGGACAGACCAACTGTTACAGTCCATATATATATATATATATATATATATATATATATATATATATATATATGGTATATATTTGTGTATATATATACATATGTGTGTGCATGTATATATACATACATATATATGTATATACATATATATTGTGTGTGTATGTTTTGTATATATGATTTTGGCTACACATGGCTCTAAACTCTGGTGACCACAAGACACTTTACCCACATGAAGAATCTTCGATGGCTTCTCCTGGTTAAAAAAAAAAAAAAAAAAGGGTTGTAGCAGTTGCATAAAAGATGAACATGCATGAATACAGGCACATACACAAAGAGAAAGAGAGACAGAGGGAATGAGTCATTACTCTGTAAAGCACCTAAGAAATAGATCTGCTGTTCGGAGCCTTGCTTCCCTTTTCCTAGCCACCCACAGTCACTGCACCGTGTTGTAGCGCATCTCACACAGCTGTGTGTGATGTTCAGCAGTTATGGCTCATCCTTCAATCTTCTGTCTTGGTGAGTCAACTCTAACTACTCCTCATTCCTCAAAGCATGAGACAGGGAAGCCTGCTTTAAACTTTCAGGTAACCTATATTAATACTATTTTGAGCATTTCTGGCTTCAGATGTTAAGTCAAATTAGTAAGGTCTGTCACAGATTTAGGAAGTGTTTCCAATCTGTTTGGAAATAGTCACATGTGGACAGTGGTTACCAGTATATTTATGGCTCCCAAAATGCACACATATATGAATTTACAGCAATTAAGATAGCATGTACAAGTACCTACACAAGTTCAAGTCAGAAAAAGAATCCCACCATGGAGAAAGGGAGGCAGATGTAAAGTCCCACCCCTAGCTGAGGAGCTACTGACATTTGATTGCTGCTCGAAGAGGGAAAAGTCCACTTTCTTCAGTAGTATGATGCCTGGTATATGGACTGCACTCCAGGGCAGGCCTCTCATCCGGAGTAGTCAGCCAACACAAACTGGACTGAGTGAGTTTCAGAATAGAGGGAGAGGGACAGGAAGAGGGAGAAGAACAGGGACAGAGAGAGGGACAGGGAGACAGACAGGGAGAAGGACAGGTGGAAGGACAGGGAGAGGGAGAGGGACAGAGAGAGGGACAGGGACAGGGAGAGGCAAGGAGGAAAGGGACAGGTGGAGGAGAACGAGGAGGTGGAGGAGAAGGAGGAGGAGGAGAAGGAGGAGGAGGAGGAGGAGGAGGAGGAGGAGGAGGAGGAGGAGGAGGAGGAGGAGGAGGAGGAAAGAGAGTTATATGGATAAGAAAGTAGGGAAGAAGTTCTGGGAAGAGCTGTTGGGGAGGGGGATGAATTTCTTCAAAATTTTATAAAATTCTCAATGAATTTCTTTTCTTTTTTTTTTTCTTTTTATTTTGCAATACAATTCAGTTCTACATATCAGTCACGGATTCCCTTATTTTCCCCCCTCCCGCCCCCCTCACCTTTCCCCCAGTCCACCCCCCATTCCCACCTCCTCCAGGGCAAAGCCTTCCCCACGGACTGAGATCAACCTGGTAGACCCAGTCCAGGTAGGTCCAGTCCCCTCCTCCCAGGCCGAGCCAAGCGATCCTGCATAGGCCCCAGGTTTCAAACAGCCAACTCATGCAATGAGCACAGGACCCGGTCCCACTGCCTGGATGCCTCCCAAACAGATCAAGCCAATCAATTGTCTCATCCATTCAGAGGGCCTGATCCAGTTGGTGACCCCTCAGCCATTGGTTCATAGTTCATGTGTTTCCATTCATTTGGCTATTTGTCCCTGTGCTTTATCCAACCTTGGTCTCAACAATTCTCGCTCATATAAACCCTCCTCATTCTCGCTAATTGGATTCCCAGAGATCCACCGGGGTGTAGCCATGAATCTCTGCATCCAGATCCCTCAGTAGTTGGATGAGGTTTCTAGCACGACAATTAGGGTGTTTGGTCATCCCATCATCAGAGTAGGTCAGTTCGAGCTGTATCTCGACCATTGCCAGCAGTCTGTTGTGGGGTATCTTTGTGAATTTCTGTGGGCCTCTCTAGCACTTTGCTTCTTCCTATTCTCATGTGGTCTTCATTTACCATGGTCTCCTATTCCTTGTTCTCCCTCTCTGTTGTTGATCCAGCTGGGATCTCCCGCTCCCCCAAGCTCTCTTTCCCTCGACCCTCGCCCTTCACTACCCCCACTCATGTCCAGGCTGTTCATGTAGATCTCATTCCATTTCTCTGTCATTGGGCAATCCCCGTGTCTTTCTTGGGGTCCTGTTTTCCAGGTAGCCTCCCTGGTGATGTGAGTAGCAGTCCAGTCATCCTTGTTCCACATCTAGTATCCTCCTATGAGTGAGTACTAGAAAAAATCATCCTGAGTGAGGTAACACAGACTCAATGAATTTCTTAAAAACCTTTTTTAAAAAAGCTATTTGGAAAGTAGTTGATGAATGTGATAATGTCTGCATAAATGTTAGCTACAGTATTTTGAGATCACACAGGTAATGCACTGGTGCTGAATTTCTGTGTGATTTCTCTATGACAAGAAGGAATGGCCTGAGAGATTAATATAAAAAGAATCCCAGGCATCCAAGGTAGAGGACACAATACTGAAATCAGGCTGATGTCAGCTAAAGTCCTAGCTGGGCTATCTGCTAGCTGTGATCCCAAACCGGTTATTCTATGTCTCCCAATAGATTCCTCTTTTACAAAAATGAGTATGACGTTAACTTCTTGAGGAAGGTTTGTGTACAGATTTAATGAAGTAATTGCCAAACACAAGGCTGGCATAAGGAGGTAATTAAAAATCTTTGTTTCTTCTTTTCTCCCCCACCCACCTTCACTAATTTCCCATGAAAACAGAAAACCATCAGTCACACCCACTCAGGTCTAAACTATATTGCTTGCATTAATACACAATTGCAAGTCAAATTGATTAAATTTTATCCTTCATCCTCATTCACATCTAAATCATTCTCAACAGTTTTACACGCACCTCTAATTATCACAATACAAGATAAGTCTGAGAAAGCACATTCCACAACACTTTGCAGTTGGACAGTGTGTTTTCCTCCATCTCCCATCATTGGTGTTTTCCACACTGGGAAACAGAAGTTCTTCTGTCTTCACTTAGTTGTATTATTTTTTTCCTCCTCTCACTGTATGGATACTGGAAAACTCAATTTTCATATGATGAAGTCTTTATTTTCTATAACAATTTTCAAATACGAATGATAAGGCTCACCTCAATTTTTAGATACGAAAATGGGAGAATTTGACAGCCAACAGAGAAGTATCTAGTTTCAAAATGTGTGAATTGAGCACTCAACCTAGTTTCAGTGGGATTCAAAATGCAATTCTACCTATAGGAAGCAGTGTGCTTATGGATGATGATGTGTACAACAATTTCCAACTGCATGCAAGGGTTATCTATAGGTGAAAAGCAGTAAAAACAAATCTGTTTTCCTTGTTACTTCAAAGATGTGGCAAGATCAAGGAACCAATGAAAATTCTTGAGCAAGCAAGACACGTTACCAGAATGTTCTTTTCAGAAGGTGATCCCATACGACCCTACAAGCTTAGGTCACCCAAACTTGATGTGCTTGGAGCTGTAGAAGAATCAACATAAAATTAATTTTTAAATATTGAACTTGTAGTTTGAGCCAAAACCATATTTCCATATCCTTTAAAAAGCCAAATCCCAGCACAGGTGACGGCTATAGGTGTGGTGAGTCTCAGGTTCTCTTTGGGCTCCTCTGACAATAGTCACTCTTCTCCCTTCCCTTCCTCCCACCTCTTTCCATTCCCTTCATCTATCACAAGATTGTTTATTAAAAATTCCATTTGAATTATTGCTGCAGAGAATTTGAAAACAGTTGAAAAAACCAGTGCCCCTGGCTGTTATTTGATAGATGCCTCCGGTTGGCTTGACACCAAGTTCACTGAAGTTAAGCAACACGCAGAAACACCGCCGTGTTAATTGGGGAGATGTTACTCTTGTGTGGGTGCTGGAATGCAAACAGTACCTGATGTCTGGAAAATGAAAATAAACAGAGGTAAATGACCAAGCTTATCTTGGCAGGACATGCAAAACACAGACTAAATGCCTAGCCAATCTGATAGCATTTGGAGAAGTCCTACACATTTATTCAGTGACCAGAAAGGAAGCCAGGGCTTGGCATATAGGAAGGAGTAGAAGAAAGAAAGAAAAAAACACATCTACTCTGTGATGCAGACACTTCGCTCCACGGGTGCTTGCAGGACAGAGGTGACTAGTCTGCAGCCAGAAAGCTCCATAAAATGAAAGCAAACTCTTTACTGGGGATACAGTGCATTCTGGTTGTAGCCTTGTTCCACTAGCATAAGCAGAAACTGCTCACAGGATTGGTAGGCAAAGTTGCTTTTTCATTGATTACTGCATATTATTATTTATTACTGTGGTGTATGTATGTGTGCACATATACTTGGCATGTGTGTGAGTGTGTGTGTGTGTGTGTGTGTGTGTGTGTGTGTGTGTGTGTGTGTGTGGTGTTTGATTGTAGACCATGACATGCTCATACAGGTCAGAGAATAACTTTTGGGCATTGATTCTTTTCTTCTATGGAGTTCAGGGATTGAACTCAGGTGGTGAGATTTGGGCAGCAAGCACTTTTATTGCTCACCGAGTCCTCTCCTTGCCCCAAGAGGACATTTAAAAAGCCATCAGTTCAATGACTTTATCTTGAAACTTGATAATGTGAAAGCTCAGAGGAGGTTATTGACTTTCTTGCACCCACTTTGCTAGTTTTAGGGAAGAACTAGACAGAGAACCCAGAAACTGTGACACCCAATTTAGGGTCCAATCCCTTTCAAGCAATTTCTACTTGTGATGCATGTACCAGAATCCCCTTCCCCTCCTTCACTGAAATGGAAACTTCAACACATTGCCCAAGATCCTCCAGTTACTTACCATTGCAAGTGCTCTGTATATGCTCTCATCCTATATGAAACTGGACTGTAGTGGAACATAGGCAGAAAACCTGTACTCTGCCGTCATCCTGGCTGGTACTTTCCATCCTGGAGAAAGAAATTCTCCTAAAGTCATGTGCATCTTTGCTTCAGGATTTCTTGTGGGTATGTCATATTTTGACTTCCCTATTCACCTTTCACTGAGATTAAGATGCCATAATAGTAGCAAGAAAAAACATTCTCATGACTCTTCCTTAAGTAAGAATTTTACCTTTAGTCCTCTTTGCAGAAGTCCCCCTTTCTGGGGTATTTCTGGAATTCTCCCAATAGTGCATGTGTGGTGATGTATGGAGTTGATGCTTTCCACTCGTGCTGATCGCTGGTGCCGATGGGAGGGTTGTATTTCTGCCATTTGGTCTTTCTCTCTGTGTGTCTTTGAGTTCTATCCTGCCCAGAAAACTAGTAGGATATATCTACCAGGAATCTGAGGCCACTCAAGGCCTTAATCCTTTGTAGCTGAGCTGCATGGAGACTCATGCTGCTGGATCCAACCAGCTGAGGCTAGTTGGTATTAAAGCTATCACTCTCTTCGCTCTCACAAATCTCTGCTCGAAAGTCCAATACAGAAAGTGTTTCTTTTTCCAGAATATTCTTCTACAGCAAATATTTCGTCGCAAGCATTTCCGGTTTGCTCCTCATGGGTGGCAAGCAAAGCAGCCACAGACACCATGATGCCCTCAGAATCTCTCAGGTGATTTTCCTGCATCACACTGCCCCCTTCCCTTAGGATGATTTATTTTCCAGAGGTTTTTGTTTCCTCACACAACTAAGATTTCTGGTCATACTCTCCTGCAAGTCTTCAAGATGCTATGGGATCTGCACAATGATCCACAGTGACAGAGAGCAGAGGATGGAAGTGCAGCCACATTGCCCTCATCCGACTGTACAACCATCATTTTGTTCAAGTAAGAGAGCATCACCCTATCTAATTTACACGTGAGCTCTGACCTTGCCTGAATTCTTAGACTTAACTTTTCAGCTTCAATGAATGGTATGTGGAGATCAAGGTCCATAATAGTAATGTGTATATTCATGTATATCTCAGCCCACAACTAAGTATTGATCATAAAAGCTACTCTATGGGTACTAGATGAAATCTATGATAGGATAGATAAAACATTTCTAGAAAGAATCTGGTCATTTCTAATAGTCTTACGCCTAAGATGACAGAAGTAAAGGATTTCTTTAAGTGCCAAATGTTGACTCTTTCTCAGTCTAGAATCAAGTTAGATTAATCTCCTTGACATTTCTTTCCTGTTTGTCTACTGAAGTCTTGAGACAAGGCTGAACTCATGACCATACCTGAAATAATTTAATCCCAGGACGCTAATTTTGTGGACGTTGAACATGTCCTATTCCCTTTCAACTTATAATAATGTCATAAATTACAGAATTTGATGAGTCATTTATGTGTGATGATTGTCATCTTTTCTTTGAAGACATCAAAATGCAAAGTATTCTGATGACCATTGGCTTCCCCAACAAAGAGCCAGCATTTCCAAATAGCAAGTGGCTCTGCCTGCCTTTTCCTCTGGCCTTGATCTGTGGAACTAGGCTAGCTAACTAGTGCGTTTACACAATACTTTCTTCATTGTTGGATTCTAACTGATCAGCTTCTAACATCTTCCTGTGGGCAACATTATGCTTTACTTCCCTAAAGTTGTTCAGTTTGTCAATAAAGCTCATGGATTCATCATTCACCCTTCACAAAAATCTTGGAACCCACATACAAAGATTAAACTCTGCCTCACAAAAAGTCAGACATTCCGCCAAGGAGCTGAAGTGGTTCCCACCCTTGACACTCGCCACACCCTGTCAGCCAACAATAAATCCCCTCCTGACATAAAAGTCCCTCTCCCCCACTCACCCCAGAATAAATCCTCTGTTGGCAGCAAGCCAGACTGAACAGATGTGTCTGCCTCCACTTCCTGGGGTGGAGTCAGGCTGGTCCAGCTTTGATCAACCAAAAGGAGGAATTCCCAGTGTCAAGAGCCCTCTGCAGAGAATGCCCCCAGGGCCTACTCCCAGAGGGAAAGACACCAAAGACGAAAAGGCAATGAGGAGCATCCTAACTGGGAGAGTAGTAGAAATGATTCATGCTCCCAGAGAAGCTGCATCTCATTCAGTCGCCTCATTTCTTACGAAGTTGTGCAAATTTGCATAAACTCACCTTTCATGGCTAGAGTCTCCCTCTGAAAAAAAACGAAAGTGATCTTGAGTGTAGTGCTTCCATTTGTCATTCTTACCAGAAAACAGGACACCCTGCAAAGAATATTAATCTTAAGGAATTCAAGTGTTAATGCTTTGGGTGGGACACTTTAATCATGACTCCTTCAGAAGTATCATGCTGGCTTTCACAAGGCATTGCGATGGGCCCAGCCCCTTCCCCTGGATTTCTGGACAAGTCATTGAACTTGGGCATATCTGAGGGGCTTGTTTAGAGCTTGATTTACAAATCTTAAGAAATGTAAAACATTATGGATGCTTCACCTGCTAAACTTGAAGGCCATGCCCTTGAAGAAGCAAACTAAGCATGCTTCTCAGTTACTGAGCTTTATGATCCCTTCCCCTGTGGAAACCCATCCAGGGGTGAACTCCAAGATTTAATCCTTGTAGGAACCCACAGGACATTGTATTTTGTAGATTTTGATAATCAGAACTACGTTCTACAATAGTAAGTAATGTCAGATTCAGTATCAAGGTCTATATTCCTTTTGACCTTCACAGCCCCATGCCAAGCTGATTGTGAAGAGGAAGAAGGGGAAGAGGTAATTCTACTCCAAGAAAGAAATGGTTGGTTGATTCCCTGCAGTGGCTCTGCCAGCAGGCTCTGAAATTCCTTACTAGATTTTCTGTGTGTGGCCAGCATGAGGAAGAAAAGAAATAGGAAGTATGGCTTTCGGATGGCTAGTGTATGCCCCTCTTGGTCACACTCATCTGGTCTGTGCAGCTGGAAGAGAGGCTGAAAAATAGAGCTAAGTTTCTGTGCCCAGCAAAAGCATTGGTAGGGAAGATGATTACAGATACAAACAGGAGAAAGAGAATAAAGAAATGTGGCACATTGGATTGAATTTGAATGCAGCAGTATGAACTTGGACATGCAGATACAGATGGACTAAACACAGACAGATACAGATATTCCTTAGCTTCTAAGTATTACTCTCTACCCAAATGAATCAAGGCTCTTCAGGAAGTTCTCATGTCCGGAACTGGAACAGAAAAATACAGGACAAGCCTGGAACAAGCTCTTCTGTGTGTGACAGAGAAAAGGAAATAATAGGAATATATTAAAAGAACACAGGAACCAAATTAGGACACAGAAATCATCTGAAAGAGGTCTAAATACTGAAGAATTTGAGTAGCAAAATGAATGATGTTGTCAACATATTAGTCCACACAAATTTAGTAGAGGAATGAATAAATCAATGGGGAAGAAAACAAAAGTTGTTCTTGGAGTAAAAAGCCAGCTAATATCAATAAATGCAAAAACAAGTTGGGAATTGTGATCAGGCTCTCCGTGAATCACAGAAGTGAATGATTCAGACAAGAATCTTCAGAGTAGGTCAATGCTGGTTGAACATTTGATCAGAAATGGCAATACAGGTGTACTCACACAGAATCTCCCTAGAATATGTTATTACTAAACTAGAAAGAACAGAAACTGCATGCCAGCTGGAAGAAGCTGTCAGTCAGCGGCAGAATCAAATGCTTAAAATTAAGACCCTTAGCAACGAGGTTGATTGGCCTGGTACACTTCCTTCTTGGATTCATGGAGAGAGAACACAATATTTCCATTATTTTTTTTTCAAGGTACACAAGGTCTAGTTCTGACCAAGAAGAAACAGCTGATCACCCCAGATTCAGAATCAAGATACAATAGATGAACTGTACCCTTTCACCTGTCAAAGATAAAAAACAACATACAAAGAAAACAGCAAAACCTCAGGAATTCTTCCAGGTTGAAGTGGCCTGAAGCTTCATGGCAGCCAAATGCTCATGTGCTTCTAGATAGGATCTTTACTCAGGAAGGAGCGATTTTGGAGCGTCACTGAAATTTGAATGGGTATAGGTGGATGATAGTGCTTTATCAGTGTGGACTTCCTGCTAGCTGTTAAGGAAAATATTCTTGCTTAGGAAATGAATTCTTGAATGCTCCTAAGTTATGAGTCACCATTGTACAGTCTGTTTTTCAAAAGCTTCTAGAAGAACACTCAACAACCAGTACATATGTCAGTGGCAATGTAAGCATGAAAAAGGTTAATGGCTGAGGAATCTTGGTCAGGGGCTACAGAAGTTACTCTGTGACAAAAAAAAAAATGTTCTTGGTTGAGATTACTTCAGAAGAAAGAACAACAGAAAACAAACAAGCAAAAGAAAAATTCTTACCCAATTAAAAAAACAGAAAGTACCTGTGGCCTTCAGAGTAGATCCACTTGCACATCTCTAGTAATTCCAACAAAAATCTGAACTTTTTTTTTCTTTATTAAGAAATTTTCTACTCTACATACCACCCACAGATCCCACCTCCTCCCTCCCTCCCAAGCCACCCCACATCCCCACATCCCCCAAATCAAGGTCTCCCATGGGGAGTCAGCAGAGCCCAGCACACTGAGCCAAGGCAGGCCCAAACCCTTCCTGCTGCACCAAGGCTGTGCAAGGTGTCACACTGCAGGCACTGGGTTCCCAAAAGCCTGCCCATGTGCCAGGGACAGATCCCAATCTCCCTTCCTGGGTGCCCCCCAAACAGCTGAACTGGTTTTTAACTATGTTGTAGTTGGACTACATGTTTTAAGTGCAATGCTATTCCAAGAGTGGACTCACAAGATTCAAGAGTTTATTTGGGCTATAATAATTAACTTTTATAAAGATCATACTAAATTTTTGTTAATTGGTAAGGTACAGTTTTATTAAGCATATAAAAGTGCTTGCTAAAATTCCTCAAAGAAACAGGAGAGGCTAAGATATTGTAAGCCAGTGGCAATGATTTTTACCACCCAAGCTTTGAGGGGGAACAAGGCAAAAGTAGCCATACAGAGCTAGAACTAGAGAGGAAAGATATATGAACATGATATCACAATGGAGAGGGTTGTGTAATTGAGCATATATGAGAACTTCTCTGCAATATTTTTATATAGTTTTTTATTTAAAAAATTTCTTTCCTTTTACATACCAACCCCTGTTCCCCCTCCCTCCTCTTCTCCTGCTCCTCCCTGCCATGTATCCCCATCCTACCCCCATCCCCTCCTCATAGAGGGTAAGGCCTCCCTTGGGTAGTCAACACAGGCTGTCTAGAAATCCCATAATAATGAATGGGAGTCAGAACTTGTGGCTCTTAGGATGGTCCTTGTTATTCCTTTGTATCTTGGAATATTGTCTTTGTTCCCATACAGACCTGCAAATGATACAGAAGACTTCAGAGTACTTTCTGAGAACCTGAGGGCTAGAAATTCTTCATATTATTTTCCCTGCACATAGCTGAAGTCTTCGCCCAGTGACAATAGTCTCACCTTCGGTAAGCTAATTATCAAACATTTGCCACATATTATTTAAAAGTAAAAGTCATTCTTGCCACTCTCAAGTCTTGTAAAAGTATTTAGAGATGTCTTCATGGATGGCTGCCAGATAGCAGCTGTCTAAATATGGGCACCAAGACTTCTACTATCATCAGGAGGTCAGAAAAACCCTTTCTGCAGCTGCCCTCTACTTGCTAAAATGCCTCAAGGAAACGAAGGACCAAGAAATTGTGGGCAGTCTAAAAAGGTCATGTTTATTACTCAAGCTAGGAGAAATTTGACAAATTCTTTATCCACTCTTTGAATAATATTACTTTCATAATAAAATCTTTTTAAGCCAGAGGAGGGAGAAAATTGGTCTCCCTAAATAGTCCAAATTAAAGTTGCTTTTGGCAATTTCCAAGCCTAAAAGAGTCAGCCAAGTCTCTTTCAATGCAATCTTGTGTAAAAACAACAACAAGTTTTCCCTGAGTGGGGTTCTGAGGGTCAGGTCTTACCTGATGTGAGCAGGGAAGTCTCAGTGGGGTGAGGTTAGAGGTTAAGTAAATGTCTCTGACAGCAACACGTTAAGACATTAAGTCTAGATTCTGTGGCCAGTGTAAAAAGAAAGGGTGGTGGCTGGCTACCTTTAATCCTTTCTCTGAGTTCTGAGTGAGAGGTAGCCTTTCATAAACACTTGCTGGAAACAAAGTAGATCTATGGCCATGGGAATGGAAAGATCTAGAGCACTAAGAGAAACATGATCCTTATTTTTTTTTTTATTTTAAAAACGTTTTGGTCTTTTACCAAGTGATGCACAGCCCCCGATGACCAAAACACAATTAAAAAAAATAAATAAATAAAAGTAACTTCTAATCCAAATACTGACAACATGTTGACTTACATCAATATGTCCTTTTCTGTGGCTAGTTCTCCACATGGTGATGCCTTCTGTTAGCCTCACACCGCATAACTGTTTGAGAATGCCTTTCCTCACTTCACAACCAGTCAGCACTCTCCCTGAGCCATTGTGCTCTTAATTTTCTAAAGCACTGTCTTTTAATTATGTTGGATGAGTCCCTCTTTATTTTTTTTTATTTTTTTTTTTTGGTTTTTCGAGACAGGGTTTCTCTGTAGTTTTGCGCCTTTCCTGGAACTCACTTTGTAGACCAGGCTGGCCTCGAACTCACAGAGATCCGCCTGCCTCTGCCTCCCAAGTGCTGGGATTAAAGGCGTGCGCCACCACCACCCGGCCCTGAGTCCCTCTTTAATACATACTTAGACAGCTACTTTTATTACTCTTGCATTTATATAAATATATAATATTTTTTTAATTTGAAAATCTATCACTCTCTAACTTTTGCTATTAGGATCAAGTCTCCTATTTCTATTTTTCCTTGTGGAGCTTTGGGAATCCCCACGCTATTGTTATATTGTTATGAATGGTTATATTGCGTAATTTCTGAGAGTGGTTGGTTAGGATGGGAACTGCTGGACTGACATGTAGGAACATCTTTAGGATTTGGAAAATGGCATCTCCAAAATGTCAAGCAGAGGCAATGTTCCAGCATCATTGCCACCTGCAGAATGTGCACACATGTGGCCCTCTGCTCTCAGAAGTGCACATGGGGTGCATGGAGTTATTTTAGTCAGGATGTCAGCACTTTCCACACACTAGCGCCTATTAGGGTTTCTTTGGGTCCTTTGTTTCTTGTTCTTTGTTACCTCCCAGTAAATTTATGTCTTATTCATTAATCTGTCAGAACCTGTCAGCATGTGTTTATATCAGTTTTGCACTTCTTATTATTTTGTTTAGGATTGTTTTGTTATTACTATTGTTTAAAGGACACCCTAAGTTTTTATGTAGCCAAATTATTATTATTATTATTATTAGTAGTAGTAGTAGTAGTAGTAGTAGTAGTAGTAGTATTTGGTTTTTTTAGAGACAAAGTTTCACTGTGGAGTCTATCCTGGATCTCGCTCTGTAGACCAGGCTTGGCCTCAGACTCAAGGAGATCCACCAGCCTCTGTCTCTCAAG